TGGCCAAATCAGTTGAAAAACGTGGCCAAGACCACGGTCACAGCTGAAATCAGGGATATATTTATATAAGGGTTATACCAAAACGTGGCCCAACCAATATTCTCTTGGGGGTTACAAATTCAATAGAAAACAAAATTTTATTTTCTGACCACCAATTAGATGTGAAATTGGACTTGGGGATACTCCAATGTGGGGACTTTACTTAAATAAATTCCTATGTGACAATTATCTGTATGATGGTTCCCTACCCCAGGGTAGCATAAATACAATTTTTAGCCAAATCAATTAATGAATGTGGTCAAGACCAAAATGGGCCCTACTCTGAAAATTTCAAATTTTATGCGAAGAGGTTCTCTACCTTCTTAGAAACAAAGATGCCAAATATAGCTTAAATCATACGATGGTTATATAAATATGAAATCAGGTTGTACCCTTATCCGTCAGTTATGATCGATATCATAACCTGCAAAAGCGATTTAAGGTATCTTGAATGTTTGGGAAGAATTTCTGGAAGGATAGAAATCCTTTTCTTACTAAGAGTCCCATTCGCTCTACTATTTTCCACCCTTTATATTCGGTATTTTTCTGATTGTACATTGGACGGATTATTGTGACAGGAAAGAAGTAGTTCCACGCTTTGAAATGAGCCCCATTAGGCTTCTTCGGTAATTTTTGTTTGTTCAAATGTGTTCGCATCTTCCAGCTGAACCACGATGTCGGCCCTGGAGTTCAAAGGTAGATGTCAGTTAACATCGTATTTCCCTCTTATTTCATTTTTTGGTGAAAATTTGTATATAGTGAAAAATTATTCTTTATTTTGTTCACAAAAAATTTTCTGAATTCATTAGATAATAAAAATTGAAAAAAAAAATTGACAAAAGAAGAATAACACATTGAAAAAATCTTCAACTTATTCGCTGATTTTTTACAGCAAATGTTTAAAGATCCTTATATAGTTTGTCAATAGAATGTACTTCTATTTTAAAATTCGATTCCATTAAATTATTTCGACATCATCTATTCCGTTTCGCCACCACATAATTCGGTACTACACTTCCATGTAACTCGCCACCATTTTCATTTCTCAAGAAATCAAGTCAATTAAATAAATTGGTATTAATATTTGAATTCAAAAATAAAATATAAAAAAACACTACAAATGTACATTAGAAAAAAGTAAGTCAAAATATAAAAAAATCATGCAAAATAAAACATTACTATTGTACATTTGAAAAGTCAAAATGAAAATGTTAATATATCACAATCTTACGCGATTTTTTTGGATATTATCCTTTTCGGAGAGGAGACAATTCCGAATTTGTATGAATCGTTAAAATCAGTCCAGCGGTTCTTAAGTTATAAGCGTAGTAACTAACACAACTTTCTTTTATATATATAGATATATATAGATATAGTAGCAACATATTCAGATGAGCGGCAGTGTAGACATATTATGTCCCCACCTATGTCTATATACGTACTAAAATGCTCCATTTGTTCCGACATGTAATTAAAGTAGCATTAGTTTGTTTATGCCCAAAGTGGCTGTTTTACGTACGATTATTTACCATCTATTCTGCCTTCATACCATAACCAAAACAGATATGTTAAGGCCTTTCGAACAAGGGTGCAAGTAGTTTGAATTAATGTTCGAAGATTGCAAACGGGGAATATTCCAATAGAGCTGTGCTGCGCCCCTGTAGTTATGAAAACCACACAAGTCTTAGCCATTAAACTCCTCCGCATGGTTAAGTCCCTGTACTGGTGTGTGACATAACATTCCAAGGAACGAACAATTACGGCAATTAACACAAATGGAGTATGAATTTGATGTTTGAAAGTTTGAAGAATGGTTCGTCTGCCGATTTGTTGAGTAATTACTTGCAGATACCATTAACGGAATTCGGTGTGAAATATCAATCGGTCAAGACCGAGATACAGTACCAATAAATGTATTTTATCCCAATTGAGATGTACCATAGCCGCAACATGCATGCACTAGCGATGAAATTTGGTATTACTCCAACGACAATGTTTGGTCCGATTTACACTGTAAATTGTTACCACAGCGATGCATTGCACGGCTTTTCCGTCCAGCGATCGCTGCAACGTATATCGTGACAACATGTTTTATTGCGGATGAAACAAACGTTCTTTACACAATTAAAATGATATATTGCCCATTTATTGTAGTTATTTTTTGTAAAGAAGTGGACCTGCTTCGATTATAATTGTATTCCGGTTCGCAGAAAACTCGAAATTCAAATTTCTTAAAATTTCATAACACAGTCGGTTGTGCCGACAGATGCATATCCTAAGCCAATATTCGATTATTTAAATATATTTTTACTTCTGTTATGATTATTCAAATGTTTGACGCTCTATGGGATAGGGCCAATATTGTCCAATTCGTATCGGACCTAAATAAATATGATATAATACAAACAAAAATATTGGTGCATTTAATATCCAATTTTTCATCTCAGGTTTCTGGTTGAGAGACATATTTAGAAATGTTAGCAAGTTGCAAAGAATCGCTGACTTGTTTGTTATGACAGATAAAAGTATTGAAAGTTGTGACCCTTTTGTGTAAGGTTCCAGAAGGGGTTTCGCAGATATATATTATCTTCACAACAGATCTTATGTTAGTAAAATTGTTAGTATGTGTGATATTTGAAGAGATTGGATGCTTACTTAGTTTTCTTTGAGCGTTTTGTTTTTCAAAATCTTTTAACATCTTTTTTAACAGATCTTGTGTTGATGGAAATAGTGAGACGTGTCAAGTCTGAATGGAGTCGGATGTTACTTTCGCAATTTATGAGCTTCAAGGATATTCAAAATTTTGACCCTTTGTGGAGAAGGTACCAGGAGGAGTGGTCCAAGCTCGTTGGGGATATGAGTCCGGTTTTTTATGCAAGGCAGAGTGCAGTACGAATAAAGGGTCAACATAGCCTACTTGATTTTCGCCGAAAATTGTTTCAGCCAATTCACTTCCCACTCATTTATAGTACGACAAACAGATATTGTTGATCTCAGCTAAATGAGACTCGATACTTGACGACTCATATCAAAAGCTACAAATCTTTACCTCAATTGATTCATTGTTTTGAACCAAGACACGCAAATAATTGAGCCCAACCTTGAAAATTCAATGTTGTTTTTTTTTTTTAAGTGAAGTCAACAGAGAATAGCGACGCCTCATTGACGTCCATCTACCACCGGCTGTGTGAAGACAGAAATAGCTCACAGATCTTCATTAATTGTTGCAACTGAGTTGCAGTCAAATATTGCACTGTACTTAAGCTGTTGCCTTCTTTCAGATACGTTTGCCGCCGCAGCAGCCGAGTTGTGGTCACCACAACAATGTCAATAATAATCCGTCCGCCTTAAAATAGCAGAGGACGTATAGCGCTTATCTTGGAACGAAAGAAGCGACGCTGTATTTTTTGACATTGCGGTATAAGCTGAGTGGCTATCCGTTAACATCTCGTTTGTTTTGCTCAACTAATTCCAATTTGAGTCAATGCGACTTACCTTGTTTCAAACAGGTTTTTGTTTGCGCACGCTGATGCTGGCAGAGACGTATGTGCTGCTGCTGCTACGCTCATTTCTTCTGACCATGAAAATGTGTTAAAGTTGTTCGGTTGGTTTTTGTATATCATCATTATTGATACACACAGATGAATGTGTGTTTGTGTGTACGTGTGTGAATGAGTGTATTGCATGTATACATCCCAGCAAACCAAATATCGAAAGTGGATCAATCTATGAGTTCTACACTTAAGCGATCAGACTTTTTTAAGGATTTGAAATGGTTTCTACGGCCTGTCGGTTTTGAATCAAACATAAATGTACATCGTTCTTTTTTGTTTGATCTGCCAACAATACCAGTCATGAAATTTACCTTGCGCTCAATTCAGTTGTGGCATTTTTATAGCCCTTATTCCGTTTGTTACCAATCGTAATATGCATCAAGACCCTACAATTTATTAAAATTGAAATTCAAAATCTGCTTAGAATCCTATAGCGATTTGCACGCGACCATATGTCGGTCTGTCTGCGGTAGCCACTCCAATTTAGAAGGAATCGACATAAATGGTTAACATTTCGCTCATAAGATTTAGCTGGATAAATTTTGGAAGAGGGTCATGCGGCTCCTCGCTTTGGCAATCGCTTGCCTTTGTAATGCCTTTTCAGTCGAACATTGTAGGCATAGGAATGAAAAGGTTTTCTTTAAATATATAAGTGACAAATCCCAAGAAGCTTCTCTTAGCGTTAGATAAAAAGCATATTTGTTGAACCGCTTAATTTATTACACCACTCGACTCTGTCTGGAAATTGATGCATGTGTGTTTGGAAAGTAACGGGGATTTTCAGGTAACGACTTGTGTATCATTAAGGAAACGTCTCTCAATTCCGACATTCGGCTTCGGACCGGCAATATTAGTGAACACAACAGCGCATTTTTCCCAATCGGTGGACGATTTGCGACACCAGCTGTATCGAAAACAGACATGAGGGCAATGAAATTACGAGGTAAAATTGATCTCAGAAGTAGTTAACTTCTAATGTCCGGGTTCGTTTGAACGTTTCTGCTTCATCTCTTAATCATGCACTTCATGTAACCGACAATGTCGAAAGGTGGCATATCGTTAAGGTTGGGGATCATGATCAATTAGTAACAAATTCTGACGTGCGAATATTTTCAAACAGCAGCATTTCATTTGAAAAGAATGGCAATTTAATAAATGTTACTTCAATTCAAAAGATTGTGTTTCATTAATTAAATCAAGACCACTTTGAGGTGTAACACATTTTTCAAGGTATTACAGAAAAGGGTCAAAGTCAAATTCCCAATTACCTTTGGGGAATAACATTGAGTTTAGTAAATTTCCTATAGGAATTTCCCTCTCGATCCAGTCGACGCTATTTACTGAACTATTGTAAATGGGTGCAATCCATTTCAATTGGGTTTTTTTTTATATTACGGAAATACTTACATGGATCCTTTCGAAACTGTCATATTTAATCCATCTAGGACCACATTTGGATTCTTCGCGCTGCCATACATCTTGTGAGCTCGGCGTACACAAACAGCCTGCTGGCGACGCGAAGCTAATGTGGATGGCTGGGAAACGAAATGCCGACGTCGTGCCGCTAAGTCAACTTCAGAATTCGAGGCATTGCTTGCGGGATTCACGGGCTGAACTCCTTCCGATTCGGCGTCCATTTCTTAACCTTTTAATTTTTTCAAGTTTCTATTTATGATAATATTAACTCTCAGGCTTGAGAAATCCTCATGTCCTGCCGGAATAAAAATGTGCTGTAAATTGAATAGAAGGGAAAAGTCGTTAGTTTAACAACGAACCTGAGAGCAACAGCATGCAACATAGATGTTTTGTATTAGATTTCCGTCTTACCGTCGTTTGTGCACTCAATACAAAGTGTCAGTCGGTTTTTCGACGGATATACACCCTCAGCTAATATCTGATAATAAAATATGTTTGACTTCATTATTCAAAATATTTGACCTTTTTTGGGTATGGAACTGAAGGAATGGAATGTGCGATAATTACTTGTTTCCAGTTGTGTGGGATTAATTGGTAATCAATTTTTTATATTTTGGAGAGGAGTTACCAGAAGGAGTGGTCCGACATATTCCATATTTGCATTACATCTATGGCTTACAGAATTATTATTATTATTATTTAACCCTTTGTGGTGGAGATACATGAAAGAATGGTTCAATGTGTTCCATATTCACACAGGAACTAATGTCGATGAAGATATTGCATTGTGTGAAGCAAAAAGAAACATCGAATAATTCTTTTAAATTTTATTATTATTCACTTATTTAAAAGTTAGCTCCTTTGCCGTTTTATGAGCTTCACTGTTGTTTAAAATGTTGACCCATCGTGGGGGAGGTACCAGAAGAGTGGACTGATATTGCCCATCTTCGAACTCGATCTAAGTTTGGCAATGATATTATGATGTATCAAGTTTGGATCGAATCGGATATTCCCTGCGAGACTTATCGTGCGCACCAACCACCCGAAAAAAAAGACGGAAGGACGGACACCCCTGAAAATGATTTGGTTTAAAGAGAACTTGGGTTTAAGCACGACATTTCGATTAGACACGTTATGGCCGTATCAACTGATAAATACTCTCTGTTGTCATATGCCTGAGGGTAAAATAATTGCAACACCTGTTCTACAATAACTCGATATCTGTTCAGAGATTCGGTGATGTGCTCATACAAATTGAGCGGAAGAAAAAATGACATTTACTGTCCTGCACCTCCTCGTTTAACTTTTAGTTTTTCATTTGACACGTTCGCAAAAATGAAACTCTTTGTAGCCGCCCGCGCGCTTCATGCATTCCGAGCAAGTCCACAAGAGACATATTTCAGTTTCGGCTACCGACAATGGCAAAATACAATTTGTGGCACATTTTGTGCAGTAAATATTTGAAAATCCTCTCAACCGTAAATAACTGGCAATTTTATACACTTTATTATTTTCGGGTGCGCTTCCTTCCAATCGCTTCTGTTCTGTATTCGAGAAATATTTTATAGGACTCCAACGCCTCATTGTTCGAATTGATACGCCATCCCAGTGCCTATGGTCAGCACAAAAAATATGTTACTCCTCCCCGAACCGCTGAATCCGATTAAACATATGGCTCCACTGGAGCGAGAGAGCAACTGCAAAAAACAGTATTGCGACAGGTGTTGGTCGGAGATCGACACCGAGGCTCCACATAAATGTGGCTGCACTAATCCACTTCATATGCATTGGAAAATTGAGTGTCTATTTATTTTAGAAGTGTCCAAAAACACCAGCTGTTATATATGTATATATGTGTGTGTGTCTTCTATTTATTTTGCTTCCTATGTCATCTATTGCATTTGGTAATGGGTGGCTTTGTTTCGATTTTTGACACGACACTCTGCCAACACTTCCACTATTGTACTGGGCCACGTGCATTGGTCAGACTTGCTGTCCTCTTGCCTTGTGTTGTGGGTTGCAGCCTGACACCGGTCGTCTTCATTTGAAAATACAAACTATGGTGGTGTGAAGACTTAGCGGGAGTAAGAACCCGAAAATAACAGCTAGGAAGACGCCAACATGCAACAAGAAACCACACCAGAGTCATAAATGATGCTGCATGTCTGTCCATGCAAAACCATAGCATAGCCTTGTTAAGCTTCCTTCGTTTGGCAGCAACAGCTGCTAATGGAAGGCATTGCCAATGCGAAAATGGATCGACTGATTGTGGAAGACAATCATCCGATGTGCACAAAAACAATTGTTCTATGTGCTGTCATTGTCATATTTTCGCCATGTGTTCGTATGAACCGTTCGCAATACTCGTGGACAATAATAGTTGGGCAGAAGCATGGAAACTTAAAGATATCCTCTCCATGAGGCGGATCACTGATGTGCTGAACGAGAACAATTAGAGTAATCACATCCTACAGTCAGAATTTCAGTGTCAGTGTCTGGCGACAAATAACAGCTGTCACATTTCAAAGCTGCCTTCTTTTTAATCGCTGCAAAAAAGATTTTCGGATCAAATAATTTTTTGCAGAATTCACTCTTGTTGTGGAAAAAGATTTCAGCAATTTTTTGTGGATTGTCTCTGGCCGTTCAGCCATGAAAGAGTATTCTCTGATTTTGGCTCCGAATGGAGATAAATGGTTATTTATGTATCCAGACATGTGTAAATTGCACTAGTTTATTTACGAGAGGTTATGTGCTCTGCTGGAAGGATACCAAGGCGCAGTGGTGTCTGATTTGAGGCTGCCACCCCATCAGGTTATGTTTTAGCAGATTGTGGTCGTTTGTTTTGTCAATTGCTCTGCACCCAATATTAGCTGCTGACTCCTGACTCATTTGGCTGCTTTGCGAATCGCCCAATCAAAAAAGTCGTATACTTCTCCTTCCGCAGCGATTTATCGGCCATTACTGTCATTTGGCAATTACAAATGACACTGGCAATGACATTGTGTTTCTGCTAACCGCTTCGACAGTTATATCTATCGATTGTGTATTGGCCCAGTCGAGACCGGTCTTGGACGCGCTAATTAATGTTGTGGAAGAAATCAGTAGCTCACCTGTTCGCTTTGTCTCACCAGCCATGGGAAGTAAACGCAATTGGCGATGATACTTGAACACCCCCCGAGTGTGTGTTCTTTTGTGAGCTCATTTGCAATGACGTTTGTATTTGTGATGCGTCAACAGCGAATACATATTAATAGCATCCTTCTACCCCCGACACGCCGAAGTGCACAAAACACACACACACACACACAGCTCCGCACAAACGGAGCTAGCTGGCTTATTGGGCAATTAATTATGACATTTAATCAGTTCACATAGGTAACGAGTGATTAATAATTGATTTATGTCCCTGACGACACTGTAGCTCATTAAAAGCGTAATCCAATTCGATGTGAATTATTCCGCATTATTTATTGATGAGTGAGTGTGTCTGTATGCCTGGTGGTGAGCTGCATTCTGAAAAAACACTGAATAAGGTAGAGGTGTAACGAAGTGACTCAGTGACAACGTCCGTTGGCACAATGGTCGACTTATTAAGCGCATTGAGTGAGAGCCTTATATTTACTCCTTCTTTCCAAAATGAGCAGTCAAAAAGTAAAGCTTCCATGTGTTGGGCTTCGTGGAAACTACGATCCTCGTCCTCAAGCCAGAAAAGGACCCAACAAAATGCAATAGCTGACTCTCAGCGCTCAGGAAGCTATTTAGGATAAAAACATGCTATCTGACATAAGCCCTCAGGGTTTTATAAATGAATACAGAATACCTTTTGGGTTGTCAAACACAAAATATTTCCTTGGGCCAAGTTCAGATATTACCTCGAATTTTCTAATGCCTAATGCAGCGTCGAATAATTGTATAATTTTCGTAAATTTTACCATTTGCATGAGCATCGAAACAGTAAGACTTGGGACGCAAACATGTTGGTCGTATCAGATAATAGACATACGGTAGAAGGTTTGAACGGATTTCTCTTCATTCTCGCGGAGTAAATAAAATATCAACACGGTATTTTACAATCCGAAGGAAAGTCTTTAGAAACTCCTATCCACGTATAATGCACTGAAAGTTGTTTAAACTACATTTTGCAGCTTACATACGGGTTTCCGATTTTAGACAAATGGATATGATTATTTACATCGCCAACGTACTTATATCTTCTCAAGATATAGTTTAGGGTACAGCAGTACCTTTTTGTGCACCTGACTCAGCCTTTGCTTAACATATGCTAATGCATGAACTCGCCGGCTTCGTAGCTATGGCTCTCCACCGTTGAGCGATTGCATTGCCTCTTTATCGAATGACTATTTGCGTTTCGGTGGTCTGGTCTTCGAAAGTAGATTGTTGTGGTTTTCATTTTCCAGTTGAGACTTCCGTTCTTGCGAAACAAAAAAGTTCAGCAAAAATAAAAAAAATAAACAATCAGCCAAAGAAACAATGCTCAAGTGTTCTTGAACTGCTTAAAATTGTTTTTAATTCGCAGTCGAAGTGTGAGCTTGGAAACATGAAACACAAAAGACACCGAACCGAAAATAGTTTTCGTTGGCTGGCTACTGCTTGATGAGTTTAAAATTTCGGATCAACTGGCAACTTTTGATGGCTCATCATTTGTGTAGCCTACCCCATGAAGTGGAGGCCATATTAAGTGTGTCATTCCGTTCGAAACCCATAGATGGCGGTGGCACTGACTTCTGCCCTCTAAGTTGAAGTACGAAACGTATAATGGATTGGCGTATAAGGATTTCAAGTATTTTAACCGGATTTTATTGAATTTCAACATTTACAGTTGTGCGAGGATAGGATATCGACTTGCAGAAATAATTCTATATTGGTCCGCTACCACTAACTATTGAAGATGTACCTATTGGGGTATTCTCCAAACCAAACTTCTATACACGGTAGGGGCACACACACACACACTTCGACATGACCGAACTGGATGCCGTCAATTCTCGTCAGTTTTCAATTAAACAAGAACTTTGTATCGTCCATTCTCTGCCAATCTTTAGGTCTCCTTTAACGTTTTTTACAACGAAAAGTTTTAGTTTTGTTGTTTGTGTTGTAGGTTCTACTGTTAGCATTGTTTGAATTTCAAATGACTTGTCGGTTTGATAGCTTCCAATTGCCGCCAACTCTAATGAATTTCTAAGATAATCTCTGTGAATTGGCGTTTTTTTTTATTTTTTGTTATGGCAGCTGAATGACTATGCGATTTGCCAGCGCGAATGCCATTGAATAGAGAGAATTATTTATTTACTCA